GGGTGTGGTTATGGGGGTGCGTGGTTATGGGGGTGTGTGGTTATGGGGTGTGTGGTTTGGGGGTGTGTGGTTATGGGGGTGTGGTTATGGGGGTGCGTGGTTATGGGGGTGTGTGGTTATGGGATGTGTGGTTTGGGGGTGTGTGGTTATGGGGGTGTGTGGTTATGGGGTGTGTGGTTTGGGGGTGTGTGGTTATGGGGGTGTGTGGTTATGGGGTGTGTGGTTATGGGGGTGTGGTTATGGGGGGTGTGGTTATGGGGTATTGACTGGAACTTGCAACAACAAGTATGCAGAAGTAACCTTATTACTATGTGGCCCAGCTGGTCATGCAAGAGGGATTAGTGTGTGGACATATTTGTTCATAATTAAGTTCACACACACACACACACACACACACACACACACACACACACACACACACACACACACACACACACACACACACAGCTGTGAGGTCACAGGGGCCTCACGGCTGAGTGGACAGTTCTTTGTGGGGCGTAGTCCGAATGGCCGGGGTTCGATTCCCGGTTGAGGCGGAAACAAGTAGGCAGTTTCTTTCACCCTGATGCACCTGTTCACCTAACAGTAAATATGTACCTGGGAGTTAGGATGCTGCGACGCTTGGAGATGGAGAGGAGGATGCTGTGACGCCTGAGACGGAAGATGATTTTTTTTACCGGTCTTCAGGCTAGGTATGTCCAGTCCGCGGCTGTTCCCTAAAGAATTCGTATTCCATGTCCAAAGAACTTGGAAAAGGCGGGGGGCTGGGGGGGGTGAAGGAAGAGTTGAAATTCTTGAAGATGTTGTTGATGGGTAACGAGGAGGAAGCATTCGATAGTTCGTAATGTGTAAAATACTGTAAATGTGTAATATCACACACATAAAATGTATGTAATAAAACTAGTGTTGTAAAATATAAATTATTATATTTGTGTGGTTAGACCTACGATGCATCATGTTGGGTGTTTTGGTTTTGAAGGAAATTATTTGTTTTTTTCATTGTGTGGTTGTAATGGCGGTCATAACTACAGTGGTTTTCATTTATACAAAGAGAGACGTCTGCTGGTTTAAAGAGAATGTGGTCAATGTTTCGGGGATGGTAGGAAAAGGCTTGTCTGAGAGCGCTTTCAACTGAATCAATTCATACTTTGTCTTTCATTAAAGGAATACAACGAAAAAATGTCTCATCCTGTACGTACCACGTTTGCTTTCCTTTACTCAATTTGCGGCGAGATAGTGAGAGGGAGGAAGTGTGTGTGTTGCTGGAGGCCGGAGGCGTAACACAGTTACCGGGGACTTGGCGCAACGTCGCCTCAGCCCTCTGGCGGGGGAACTGATTACATTATCAACAGAAAACCTCAACCGAGAGTTGATGATTGTGTAAATCATAGTTGGGGACCAAGGACACATTCACTGGAGACATCTCCCGTCACGCAGAGTGCAGTCGCACCTCCACAGATCTCCAGTATCAGCTCTTGATACTGGTAATGGCTCAAAAGGGCCACCACTTACGGGCTATTCATGTCCGTGCCACCTTTTGGGTGGCTTAATCTTCATCAATCATCAATCAATCAGTTGGGGAGCCATACTCCCAGTGCCCTGCATGAGGGACTCCGCTCAGAGGCCGGGTCCCTCTCTTCTAAAATAAAATAAAATAAAATAAAATGTTTATTTAGGTAAGGTACATACATACAATAAATTTTTACAAAGATTGGTTGACTTATAGGTAGAGCTAATACATACAATGCCTAAAGCCACTATTACGCAAAGCGTTTCGGGCATGATAAACTTAAATGACAAGCTTAATACTAATTGAGCATAATGAGTAGAATGAAAACAAGAAATGAAAACAGATGAAAAAGCAGCACAAATACAATTATGTCGACAAACAGCGCTCTTTAAAAAAAAAACAGACATTGGTTGACAATAGAAGGGTATGGTAGGTTACAGGGAATTTATTAGGTATAGCTTCGTTTTTAACTTAAACTGGTTGAGAGAGGTACAGTCTTTAACATGGTTGGGAAGGTCATTCCACATTCTGGGCCCCTTGATTTGTAGTGCATTTCTAGTTTGATTAAGTCGTACTCTAGGAATATCAAAACTGTATTTATTTCTAGTGTGGTGCTCATGGGTTCTGTTACAACCTTCTATGAAGCTTTTGAGATCAGGATTGGCATTATAGTTTAGCGTTTTATATATGTATAATACACATGAGAGAATGTGCAGTGACTTAATGTCTAACATATTCAGAGATTTGAGTAGGGGTACCGAGTGATGTCTGGGTGATGTCTGTTCTAGCTAACGTAGTTATAAAGTGTGAAGGATAGATGAAATTCTTTATGTAATTATCTAAGTTGAGGTCTGACAAAGACCCCTTGTGCCCTCTGTAATGCTGTTTGCGATACCGCTCACAGGATGGGTACGGGGTGCACAATAAACTAGCCGCCCCTATGCGGTCTACTAATGAGTAGACTCACCTCTCTACTAATGATGTCTACTATGCTGGTATATTTTTCTTCGAAGTAAAGATGAAAGTGTAAAGAAAAATCAATAAATGAGTGACATGTTTTAGACGTTTTTAAGAATAAAAAATATTATTATTAATTTAAATTTTAAAGCATTGGTTTATTACAGAAACAAACCACTAACTGCATTTATCATAACCAAATGAATTCCTCCGAATTCCCAGCATTTAGTGAGAGTGTTGCCTATCACAGCAATCGTCTCTACATGCTGAACTTACCTATTTATGCTTGCGGGGGTTGAGCTTTGTCTCTTTGGTCCCGCCTCTCAACTGTCAATCAACTGGTGTACAGATTTCCAAGCCTACTGGGCTTTATCATATCTACATTGGAAACTGTGTATGGAGTCAGCCTCCACCACATCACTTCCTAATGCATTCCATTTACTAAATACTCTGACACTGAAAAAAATCTTTCTAATGTCTCTGTGGCTCATTTGGGTACTCAATTTCCACCTGTGTCCCCCTTGTTCGTGTTCCACCCGTGCTGAAGAGTTTGTATATGTCCACCCTGTCAATTCCCCTGAGAATTTTGTAGGTGGTTATCATGTCTCCCCTTTCTCTTCTGTTTTCTAGGGACGTGAGGTTCAGCTCCTTCAGCCTTTCCTTGTAACTCATGCCTCTCAGTTCCGGGACAAGTCTGGTGGCATACCGCTGAATCTTCTCTAACTTTGCCTTGTGTTTAACTGGATGTGGACTCCAGGCAGGAGCTGCATATTCCAGGATTGGTCTGACATAAGTGGTATACAGGGTCCTGAACGATTTCTTACACGAGTTTCTAAAGGCAGTTCTTATGTTGGCCAACCTAGCATATGCCGCTGATGATATTCTTTTGATATGGGCCTCTGGGGACAGGTTCGGTGTGATATCAACCCCCAGATCTTTCTCTCTATTTGACTCTTGCAGAATTTCTCCTCCCAGATGGTACCTTGTGTTAAATTGTTGTGATAACTACACAGCTATAATTTAGTGATTTAGGATTATACAACCCCTACACCCGATGTGATTAAGAAACATAAACATAATATCAAATAATGGAAGTGACACGATTGAATGGGAATAGGCTATTCCCCTAATTATTAGAATAAATCAAATGCATATACTGTGTATACTACTGTATTCTTTACATAAGTTTAAACCTGTTTCAAATTTTACTAGTTTATTTATTTATTTAAAAAAATCCATTTCTTAACCTATTGGGATGAAATTTTCATGACGCTGATGCCAAATAACAGATTTGTTTAAAAAATTTCACTATACAGTACTGTATTTCATATTTGGAAAAATACTCCTCAGTCACCGGACTCCTTAATATGAACAAACAATGCATAGGTCTCTTGACCTGTCCTCATGCTATATTTGTGTATATCTAACTACAGTACAGTACTAGATGAGCACAAAAGTCAAGTGAAAATAAACATTGCCCAAATGCTTCTGTCATTCTGCGAGAATGCATTATGATACTATTGAAGCAATTCACCTTGCAGCAATCTTTCCAGGTGATTAGTGTAGCTTTATATTGTAACTTAACTAAAAAAATAGTCTAGAATTTTTTTTTATTTTAATAGCAAGTAACAAGAAGCAGGATATGCAAACAACAGTACTTTGTATTTCACATTTATTTTATTTTGAAGGTAGAGTATTTTTCCAGAACAATCACATGGTAATTCTGGGATAGGGATACATGAACAAAAATGAAGACAAGAAAGGCAGAGAGACTAAAGACAGAAAACATTACAGCATAGTGAGAATCATCTTGAGATGTGTGTAAAAGTATACTGAGAGGAAGAATAGCTGAGCAAGGGCAATTGGGAGCTGAGGAAAAGATGACTCTAGGTGTGTAATGAATAAGAAGTTAAGAAAAAGGAACTGTGGGTGAAAAGATAATAAATAAGGAGCTGAGGAGGGTGAAAAGATAATAAATATGGAGCGTGATGTTTGTGAAGGTGTGAAAAAATAATTTGTAAAGGCTGGGGAAGGTGATAAGTAGGAACAGATTGAAGGAAATGCTGGAGCAAAGAAACTATCTTGTTAAGTCACTTTCATTGTACCATTATAGAAAATAGATATGCAAAAACTTATTGAACCATGAAAGAGATCATTTTACATTTATACAAATATTGGAAATTCACTGCTGCCAACTCGAACTGAATTTGGCACCATTATATTTCTAATAAAAAGAATATTTATATATGAGTTCTTATTCATTAAATGAAAAAGAACAGCAGTGTAAAATTTTAGTGCAGATTTATAATTTTGCATGATTTGCAACTGTACAGAAATCTGTCAACACCTTGTAATAAACCTGCCATCTACAGGGAAATGACTGATCGGTAAAATTAGCCAAGTTTCCCAGAACTGACTTCAGGATGAATATATAGATGATTCATGGGCCCAATGAACTGCAAAAGGAGATAATGTAGTGAAGCTTAATTAACACAGTGCTATACATAACTGGCTATGAACATGACAAAAAAATATCTGGAATACAATATATACACGGGTATATCCAAAACCTACTCACACTAAAATTTACATAATATGTACAATAAAATAATTTAACACTGGTATAGTTTAATATTTACTCCAGCTGGATCATTCATAATTTAAGGGTCATCACCACCCAGTAATTTTACGGAAACAATTTATATGAATAAATTCTCTACACCCAAATTTTATCAGCTCATACACTATATAACTTAATCTTGTTACATTTAAAATATGATTTTCATATAATAATACTTCTCAGGTTGTAATAAAAAACAAATCCATGTGTTAACGTACTTATAGCGGAGTATGCCGGGTAACTACGCCCACACACTACAGTACAGTACAGTACTCGCATTAATTTATAATTTACATTTGTTGGCATTCACACAATGAAATTTCTTAAGAGATGCATTCATCTAATCCACTGACCATATACAGCCCACACATATATCTACACAAGACCTATCAAGGCTCAATATCAGAGAAGGTAACACACTTTCTGTAACTGAACTGAAGGTAACTGTCTTTCTGACTGTTCTATATTGTCCATTAGAGAAAGTTTTTAAATTCGCCAGTTTTTGCAGAGCCTGCAAAAATGTGTGTCCATTGCTTCTAAAAAAACAATCCACTTAAAAAGAAAGAACTATTTTTTATTATTTCATTAAAGTTCTATGTAAAATGATTCAGTCAGATATACACTTCATGTAGTTACCATCTCTGCCAGAGCTGCTTAACCTGGACTCCTCACCCACAGCAAGACATTTCGAAACCTATGTATCTTACGCAGGTACTTGGCAGATCTCGTGCAACCAAATAATGCTCACTGACAAAAATCAGTACAGTATATTAAAGTGACACATCATAATTCAATTTTTCAACTTCAATGCAGTACAGTACAGTATCAGATATCAACTTGCAAATGTTTTATACATATTGGTTTTTGTACATTTATTTTAATTATAAAGAAAATATTCAAATATATTTGTAAGTTTTCAGTAATGTTATTTTATACAAATCTCAGTTTTTTTAATTACAGACCAGCCATTTCAGTTACTTACTTGGACTATGAATAATGTTTTCAGTTTGTGACATCATTCTGATGATTATTTGCACGATACACTGAGAGAATGATACATCCAAAGATTCACACCCATGAATCCTGCTAGCCACAGTAATATTCACTGAAAGTCATACCTTCTTTGGTTGCATTTCTTCTGCCGTTAAAGATCAACACAAAACGATATCAATCGGTATGACCAGCATTACCTATACAGGATTCAATCAATTTTCAATGACAAAAATGTTTATAATTGTACAGAGTATTTTATTTCCATCAAAATGAACTGTTCTTCATTGCCACACGCTGAAAATTGCCCGTCACTCTACACATATACTTGCAACCCTTTTGTATCTTCTTCATGTGTTTTATTTTTTCTTGATTATGAACATTTTGAGGTTTATGCCCGAATCCTGAAACATTATTTGATGGATTGCCATCACTGGAGTGAAGACCACTCTCATTCAATAGGTACTATGGATGATAAGAACATAATGTACTTGGAATGGTATTTACAATGTTAAAATTGGAGGTATGTTAAGAATAAATACAATACTGTATCAGTAATTACTACTGATTACATTTGCCTTCGTTACATACTAGTAGTGCTAGTTATCAATAGCCTACAAGCCAGAATGTACACTCTTACCAGTTCAAGTAACGTTTCAGAATTTGAGATTATGCACTCCAGACTAGAGAATACAAGCTGAGGACAAAACACAACCAAATAGCTAGTTATAAACATAACAAATAACTGTACCGTTAAGTCATATACACATTACATAAGAAGCTTTAAATTACAGTAATGTACAAATGCCAGCTATCAACAAAATGGAATGCTTAGTTTCATCATGAAAGAAAAATGTAAGTCTTAAAACCTATATTATACAAATAACAATTGAGGGCAACATGAGGAAAATCTATTGAGCACTTTTAACAGTAAATTGTCATATGGAATGCATTAACTTAATAAAATTTAACACAGAGGTCATAAGATATTATCTGGAGAACAATAACATTCGTGAATGGCCACAATTGCAAGGTCTTATATTCAAGAATTTGTCAAAACCTGTTGTAAGTTCCTTTAGTGAATATCTTCATAGAACTGTATTTTATTATAAAAAGAAATCTTATTGATGATAAAGTTGTGCAACTGTGCTCATCAGGTTGTTTAAGGAACCAGGAGGAATGTGCATTTTCAGATACTGTATTCCCTTGTTTCCTGAACAGTAAGATATATTACATATGTTGAATTTAACACTTCATATTATCTGAAAACATTCAGAAGTGTCACATCTGGAAATGTTTTGGTAAATATTATAGAGGTTCTTGCATGCAAAATTAAATGATTTCCAAACAAAATTAATTTGTAACCTTATATAGGGATTCTTGATGGTCGCTTAAATATTTATATGTACTGTACACATCAAATATTTTAGTATCCAAAAGTTTTTGTTACATGTATAATGATCATTTAATGATAAATTCCAAAGTGGTTCTTAGTATTTTGGTATATTAATAATTAGGTCAAGTACTGATGATCTTAAATACAGCTAAGTAGAGGTATAACTCCATGAACACATCACAATATTCACTTCACTAAAAATTGCCATGGTTATATACTGTACTCTGAATTATTATAAATTCACCATTCACCAGCAGAATCTTGCCCTTCTACTGCCTCAATATTAAGACTGTTTCTTGACCCAACACTAGTTTTGTCTTGAAGTATGACAGGAGCTACTGCCTTGACACTTATAGCATCTCCATCATCATCAGAGTCTGAGGTGTCGCTGACATGAGATGATCCGGCACCATTCTGAAATATAAGTCAGGTATTTAATCTTAATCTCATCACTGTAAGACACAGCGGTTAATGCCGAGATTTTAGCAAATACAATTCTCAGGAAGATTGACATGGCAATGTGGCAGATTATATGAAATGAGTGTTAGACAAACAAGGGGACACAGAAACAAAGTACTGTACCCAAAATGTACAGACCCTAGAAAGATTTTGTCAGTGTCAGAGTAGTGAACAAATGGAATGCATTATAAAGTACCATACAGTACTTTAAATGTAGATAAGGTAATAGCCCAGTAGGCTTGGGAAACTGTACACATTTAAAGATTGAAAAATAGGAGCCGAAGGGCAATCCCTGTAAACACAATTAGGCGAATACTCAAACCTGTGTTCGTTCGTGTTGCTGTGGCTGATCATGGCTGAAGGGTGGACATCAGCCATTGTTTGGTTATCAACTTTAATGATACCTAAATTTATACATGACCAGCAGCATATCAAACGGTGCAGGCATGCTGGCACTCTCTCTACCTACAGCTGGCGTATGAAATGCAGCAGCATACAAATGGATAGTGCCACTTGCTATGAACATGATACCACTCGGGTAGATAAATTCACAACTATTTGTAATATTTTTCTTTAATTACTGGTTTACAATGTATGTAATATCTGGGAACAAGAAAGGTTTCTTTTGATAGGAAATGCATTTTTGTGATAACAATATTTTATTGAAGAGTTAAATTACTAAAACAAATTTGCTTTTACCCATCCTACAAAATTCTCTTGCCCACTACATTAAAATTAATCTTTAAAAAAAAATAGATTTCCTTACCATTAGCCTTGATGGGTAACGGCTAACTCCTTCATGAACGACTGCTCTTCGACTATAGTACATCCCTCTCACAGAAGGCCCAGGCTCATCTTCCGACACACCTCCCTCACTACTCTGCGTACTCTGTGTAGACCTTGTCATGCAAACAGATCGATGGTTTTTGCTCCTTGGTATAGGTCGACGCATGAAGCTGTAAAAAGAATAAAATACAGAATACTGTAATAATGTCATAGGAGATAAATCAGTATTAATGGCATTCCCTCAAAATAAACTTTTATTCACAAATACATCAAGCCACATTTACTGTTGCCTTATCTATAGTCAGACTCCACTTGGACTATGCTGTGTAGATCTGACAGCTAAAATACAGAATGGATATGAACTCTCTTGAGAAAATACAAAGATTGACAAGGCTGATACCTGGTATTGAGGAACTTTCCTACACCCACAGATTAACGCATCTCAATCTGCTCTCGGTGGAGAGGTACCTAACAAGGTGTTATATGATCTAGGTATTGAAGTGAGTCAAGAACCATAAACATGGTTCTGAAACTGTCAGAACCAGCAACATTGGGTACATAAGATAAATTTTGTTTCAGGAAGGATACAGTCATGCTGGTTAATATGATTACGGATGAGTGGAATGGGTTCTTGCCTATCATTATTGAGACAAACAGTTTAACAAGTTTCAAGAATAGTTTGGATATATATTTGGGTGAGAGTGGGTGGATTCAAATGGGGGTCTGCCTAGTATAGGCCTGCTGTGATGTTTTCCAGTTCTCATGATTTTTAAATATTGTGTTCACTTTCACAACTAGACAAATACGATATGCTTGGCAAGGAGCAACTGAAAACACTTGTCCATGGAACAAATGTACACTTGTCCATGGAACAAATGTACACTTGTTAAATTTTAAAATCATATCCTAAAACTTTTCTTTATAGCTAAACCTACCTTTTCACTCTTTAATTTTACAATTTTATCCATCTCTATTTTTTGTTCACATTACAGTATATATATTTCAGCAATCTACTATCCTTTACTGTACTAGCTTGTTCTATTACTAAATTGGTGAGCAATAGTAATGTTGTACATCTACTTACCATCTCCGCTTGATGACTTGATAGTTACCATCCAGTGACCCATCATCACAGTCATCTTCATCTTCTTCTGATGCTGAAACTTCATGACCGACTGAATCATGACTGGAATCGATTTCACTGGATGCTACCATATCAGAATTCCTATTGAGAATGTCTTGATCGATACTGGAATGCCTCTCATCCTCATCTGCTTCATTTGTCGTATTTGAGGATTGACTCTGTGACATTCCTTCTAGCTTTGGCTGATTAACATCCATTGGTGTAGACTCAGAAAAGTCATTTTCTGGGATAGGCTGTTCAAATCTCATGAGAGGGCCATGTCTGACTTGTCTGTAGCCATTTGGTAGAGCTTTCTTATCAGCCAAAACTCTTTCAATTGCATCCCATTTGTCACCAAGTTGGTGTAAAATGTCTACATCATCCTCATTGTTATTAAGAATTTGAAGCGTTTCCTCAATAGTATATTCTTGCCTACCCTCACTCAGTCTAGCTACCACAGGATCAGCTATTGGAAAATTTTTATTTGAATCGTTTGAGTCTGTTGATGTGAACCGTCGGTATTGTTGTCTTGGACAATGCTCACAACACGGACTCTGTTCTGGGATTGTGTTGCCATTAGGACTTGTTTCTAAAACAGTATGTCCACAGGGCGGCTTACTACCCCCACCTGTATCTATCTCTTCTTGCTGAAGAGGAAGGGTGGATGGTTTGTTAGGCCCTGGAGTCTTTACAGGAGATGTGTCTGTTTCACTCATATCCATGTGGTCGGTCTGTGTTCCAGAGTCAACAAGTATAGGAACTCTTTCTTGACTTGGGCTTAAACTATATCCCTAGGTAAATAAAATTTGAATTAGTAATCATATACTGTATGACCAACTCATTATGCAGTAAGATATATTGTACAGTATGACATGAAATATTGGAAACTAAGATAGCACAGTAATAAAACATACTGCACAGTACTTTAATCATTATGCCATAGCAAATTAATACTAATATTTCCATTTTATAATATGCACATAAATAATACATAGAGTACAGTATTTATAAAAGTATGATACCTACCCTTCTATCTGGCACTACACAATGTTTGGGACTAGTGGCCGAGCTGACATATGCTACAACACCCCCGTGACTCTTGTTACGCTGATGACGGGACCGCCGTCGACTTGAGCCTGACCCGCCACGCACAAAATCTGACTCTTGGTGACCTGACTCTATTGCATTTCCTCCAGTGTGAGATGGAGAAGATATTCGGGTGTGATTTTGGGAAACGTGGAGGGAGACAGGGCGTGTTGTGGACAAGGGTAGATTATTTGTCCCTATTTCTGTATACAGAGGTTTCTTCGATCGGTTCTGTTGGGACAAATTTTATTAAATTCCTTAGCTCGACATTAATTTCTAAACTGTAATATTCTCCTATTAAGCAACATTTCCTATTTCTCTATGTTTTTACATTATTATTATGATGTTATTATTATTATTATGATTATTATTATTATTATTATTATTATCATCATCTTTCATATTTCCCTGCTTCCTTCCTAATTTGTTGCATGTAAACTAAAGCTGAAAAGTCTTTAAACATTTGAAAATGTGCATTTAAATAGCATTTATGTATTTAATGAACATAATTCGTTGTGATGAATTATGATGACATGAATAATAAATGACTTACTGCCCATTACAAATGTCAAATAAGACATAAATAATAGCAACTATGATAAAGCAGGTAAATCAATAAGCAATAATATGAATATTTAGTACTACTGTACTGGGTAAGCAGTTTCCCCAAGCATGAGAATGGCGCTGCCCAATAAACTCGCCCCTCGGGGCAAAATTTAAAAAAAAAAAATACCAGGAAGGATCAAATATTGTAACGCATAAAGGTTTGTTATGGGAGTGCATATGGGAACATATGATTAAAATCAAGGTTTATGTAGTTGCAATTAAATCTCTTCAGAAGATGTGAAATATTCCGTATAAAGTGAAAACATTTTTAAGGATACTAAATGGATGAGAGTTTTAAGAATATAATAGTTAGATAGAAAATGCATCTAGCACACACTACAAAATAGACAAAGCATATCAATATGAAACTGATAAAACAGATAAGATACAGTGACCAGTAAAATGGAAATATAATTTGATTTTGTAATACATTATGAACTGAACTGATCTGAAGCCAGAAATTGTTCTTTATAAAAAAATTGGCAATGGCTGTACTTCATTAACGTTTCAATTTGTCCACAACATTTACTGTATTTAAAGAACTACTGATAAAGTTCCTATTTTTTCAGCTGTAATTTCATTAAATAATTTCCCGCTTGCTATTTAAGAGAAAATATATTCAGCACTCAGTACTATGCATATTAGCATTTTTATGTACAATTAACAAAACCTGGATATTAACTGAAGGCTAATATCTAGCCAAATTAATGTGTTGTACAAACAGTACTTACCGAATATAAATTTTACATTACCAAAGTACTTTCATAGTACTTACCGAAGATAACTTGGAAGGAGAAAGTATACTGGATGGGGCCTCAGGACTAGTTTGGTTGGAAGAGGTAAGCTGGCTGCCTTTACGAGCCTGCAGTCTCTCTTGGGCTTTGATCAATGGTCGCACAATCCTTCGTTTACCTTTGTGTATCTGATTTGCATGCTCCCGCCTGGAAGACGACCTACAACTTTATATTTACTGCCAATCTTTTTTCTTTAACTGTTCAAAAATTATTATAATGCAATCTTAGTGTATAATACACATGCACAGAGATAGTAACTGTTTGATTAGTGCCACTGACTAGTGGCTTTAGGTATTGTATGTACTAGCTCTGTCTATAAATCCAACATTATGTTTGTAAATCAACTATGTATGTACTTTCCTGAATAAAATTTACTTACTTTACTGTACTTTACTATTTTCTCTTATTTCATAATATTTAAATTATCTAAACATTTATTGCAGAAAAATGTCACAATAATGGTGCTGAAAACAAATAACATAACTCACACCATATATGAAATTAAAGAAAAGTGACGATGTTTTGGTCCATTCATGATCATTATGATCATTCTGATCATAACTTAATAAGGGTTCAAGACTGACCTAAATGTCTTCACTCTCATTTCAACTCAGATGTGTGAGTTGGGTTCTTTATAGAATAGTATTAGTAATTGGTATAATTGTTTTAAATAAAAATGTGAGTTACATTTTTCTATAATACTATTCTGTACTAAATTTTAGCTCATGCAGAATCCACAAGAAAATTTACCATTCTACTTGGTACATTCATATTATACACATCCTACTATAATTTAATATATTTTCCTCCATTCTATAATCTCTTAAAATATTTTCAAATATTTCCATAATGCACCTAATGCCCTCAAACAAGCATTATATCATTTACAAATTTTGCTACCATACCGTATACTGTAAGTGCTGTGATTATTAAAAGAAAGTATCTAGCTGGGAAGACTATGTAGCATCGTCTGTGTCAAGGGATATTCTAAAGGTATAAATATTCTCTCAGGATGCCAATACAAGAACAAAGGGATACGAGCTGTGCGACACCAAAGATATAGGATTCGATGGGTTTTATGGAGGGACAAGTAACCCAGGGGGACATTTAAGAAACCAAGCCTGTATGTTGTAAGCTAATGTCCACACAAAGACTTTAAATTAAATTAATTGTAGACCTTAAAATAATGTAGAGCTGTTCATATTTGGCATCATTGTCTTCAGAGTCTAGCACATATGAAAATTACTCTCAAACATTTTCAGTTTTTTTGCAGCTCTTCCTCCAGTAATGATAACTGATCTCATGATGACACATCATCATCATTGTCTTCAGAGTCTAGCACATATGAAAATTACTCTCAAACAATTTTAGTTTTCTTGCAGCTTTCTCCAATAATGATAGCTGACCTCATGATGACACATCCAGTTACCAGCCTGACCCAGTGATGTTTAACCTGACTGGATAATATTATCATATTCATACATACAGTAAATAAATTATTGTTTAATATTATGCATATATATAATATGATATATGTACTGTATTACACATACTGTATGAATAATGATGTACACACATCTCGCCAATTCACCTGCTCATATCTCATTCTCCATTTTTGCGATAAAAATTAAATCTCAGATTTTCAGCACACACCCACTACTATGATTACCAGCATTATTACATTTAATTTTTGTGTTTGTCCTTATATATGGTACCCTAATTACCCTACGCTTGCAGAAGAACGCCAGAGTTGATCCAGTTACAGTACTGGAAATACAAATGGAACAAGATTTCAGATTACTGCTACAATGCTTACTGAAAGTTTCTTTTTTGTCACCACAGGAGATTCATATAGTATATAATTGACAGCACTTCATTACTTATTGTGTTCAACAGCTGCATTTACAACCTTGCTGAGAAAATTTACTGTACAGTAGAGGGTTAGTAGGTATCTATCTACATTTACTGTATATATAACTAAGTCATCTCTTCCTTTCTTGGATTTGTTTTTACGTGACACTGCAGGTATGATAGGGAATATTATTTACGAAAGTTAGCTTTCAGAATTTAAGTAAGATAAATTTATCTCTTCGTAGAATACTCAGTTGATTTTTTGTTTACAGTATACTGTACAGTAAAATGTATATATAAAGGAGGTAAAATGAGATGTGTTAGTATAGATGTAAGTTGGGTGATGTGAGGGGTTGCAGTAGTTTAGCTCCATGCACATTGTTAGTTAGATAGAGATAAACTAGCAAGTAATAACATGCGAGAAGAGCAGAGTGGAGGGGACATAGTATCTGATTTTAAAAGTAAAGTATATAAACTGTTAAATCCTTTTTAGGTAATGTGCTCTATATGAGTGCTAAATTAACTCTTGTGAGTGTACAAGTTAAGGAATTTTCCCTCACTTATACTTTCAGTTTATACTGTATTTTGTACTTTAAGGTCTATTTGGTTACATTATTTGTTTCCAAATCAAATGTAGTGGATCCTTTCTGTGTTAAGTGTGAGCCTGTTGACTGACATCCATGAGAAAGTGGACCTTTTTTTTTAACTCGTTGTTTACTAGGTCATTTAGGGTACAGGTATGTGGTTTGGAGAGATGATAAAGGTAGTAATAGTGTCTGTTGTTGAGATATGACTGGATATCATTCAGCGTGTTCCCTTGAATTCTGTAATGCTGAAATTTAAGTAGGAAGTTAGTGTGATTTATAATATTCTTAAAAAAAAAAGAAAAAAGATTTTCTTAGATTAAGGACCTGCCCGAAACGCTGCGCGTGCTAGTGGCTTTACAAGACTGTAATTACCATATTTGTATCCTCACATTCCTTATGTACATTCTTGTATATGCATAAATAAATAAATAAATAAATAAATATTAAATTCTTTCCTTTGGTCAATTAAGAAGTCAATTGGAAATTAATTTTTGTCTAGGGATGTATTGATCAAGTCAAATAAACTAACACTGGCAATATTGGTACTCTTTAGGGATCTGAAGCTGAGATGGCTGAAATGTTGTATAATAATGTATGATGATTTCATATTAGTCTCTAATTATTTATGTCATCTGTGGTACCCTCTTATGAATTGGAATTACTGTACTACTTGCATTTTTGGCAAATCAGGAAAGGTTTGTGATTCAAGAGCTCTGTTGAAGAGAAGAGCTATGGCAAGTGAAAGTAAATGAGGAGCTTTCTTGAACATTTTCAAATATTGTTGGTATTTCAGTGTTATTGCCCGTGGTTTTGCATAAATTATGGAGATAATGTCTGAGGGATGATTGACAAAAGGTAGGGTTAGGAAAGCTGCAAGTGAGATGTGTAACAACATTTGTCCAAGATTCTGAAATATTTCTAGCAAGAATAACTTCAGTTGAAGATAAGAAGCTATCGAACTATGTTTCTATTTCTAAATTTGAGGGCAAGATGTTACCATCTTGATGAATTTAATTTGTTTGTTGTTTGAGTGTTGTGTAAGTAGCTTTTAGGTAATTCTTTTGTGACTAGGCCAAGTTTATGTGGTTTTTATATTCATGTTTGTTAATTATATTAAGTATATCATTTGTTATTTGTGAGCCATGGATTGTTAAATCTCGTATCAGTTGTTGGTTTGCTGAGGAGAGGATGACATGTATTGTAGAGACAAAATTATAGTAAGAAAGATATCAGATGATGTAAGATGCCATGTACATTATTTAATTCTGATTCCCAGTTTATATTGCAAAGTTCATCTATGAGGTTGTATGTTGCTGTATAGTGTGAAGGTAAATTTTTTTGTATTTAAGGATATTTATGTTTGTTACGAGGAAGGTAGAAAAGTGATCAGTTGTTCTATCAGTAATTATACAAGACGGGAGAGGGGCTATATTAGTCCATATATGATCCAGAGTTGAAGTACAGTAGTTGTTTGAACAATTAGAGTGGATTTGATGATTGTGGGTATTAGCATGCAGGAATTCACACATTAAACTTACTTCAGCAGTTCTTTTTCACGTTGCTCTAGTTGTAGCATTGCTGCCGATAGTTCTAGATACAAATCGTTAGCGATTACCAGTTTTCGTTCCCAATGTTCACGTATGTCCTGCAATAACCAGAGTAACATTAAAATCAGTGATATTTACTTGAAAACCTTACAACCTTTAAAATTTGAATTCATTAGAGTATTGAGTAATTAATTATTAGAAAATTTTGAAATCCAACCTGTGCATGTTTGAGTTCATCATGACGCCGTTTTACCAAGTCTTCTTCTATGTGTGGAATATGTGACCCTCTTGAGTTCATAGATGCCATTTGCTGTCGGATCTCTGCTTTCCATGACATCTGAAAAGAGAAATAAAGAAGATTACCAAAAAATGTGAAAACACTATTGAAAATACCATACCATATACTGTACACTATAGGGCAAGAAACATAAAATCAGAAATACAATAAGTTATAGACAGCAGACATACTAATGCCTATCACTTTATCTGTTCAATTCGCACTTAAGCTTTTGAATAAAGCCTTCAGATAATAATCAGTCTTACATTACTTTTCATCCTTGCACCACCTGTGTCATTAACTCGTTTGTACCTGGGCTATTGTTGGCCGTGTTACTTATTGTTAAGAAAATGGTGACATGCTACGGTGTTTGTGTATCCTCTCATGCAGTCTTGTATCACAAAGATAGGTGCAAACTACACAATCTACACCATTATAAATACAAAAGAGTAATGATATCTACTAGTTTAAAGTATAGTACTGTATTAACTATTAAAATTTAAAACTCTCTACAAATATTATATTTTTTGTAAAGTCCAAACTGTAATTTAGGCTACAATAACATACCATAAGAATATGCATTTACTTTAAGCCTTACAGTGCCGGAAGTGTATGATATAATATAACACTTGTAAAAAACTACATAATACAATCAAATACAGCACTATATTTCTTTAAAAAAATAAAAATTGTTACAGTATTATTATTATTTTTATTATTTTGAAATAAACAATTTCTACAATATTACATGTGCTTATATACATTGCAAACCATGCATTAGTGTAATTTTCCATTTTAATCTATCTATGATATGTACTGTATATCTATTTAATAAAAATAATAATAATAATGATGTTTATTCAGGTAAAAGTACATACAAAAAATAGTATCTGTTAGATTAAGGACCTGCCCGAAACGCTGCACGTACTAGTGGCTTTACAAGATTGCAAATACTATGCTATGTATTCTCTCTAACCCAATGTACCTTCTTGTATATAAATAAATAAATAAATAAATAAAGTTACAAACAGAATGTTGGATTTATAGATAAGAGCTAGTACGTATATATTATGCCGAAAGCCACTAATACACGCAGTGTTTCAGGCAAGAATTTGTTTGATGTCATTGTTTCCTCAAGGAACTTTTCTACCTTTATTGGAAATGGCTTCATGTAGAATTTTTTTACGGACATTGTAAATACCTTTGAGTGTTGAAGACTTAAAAATGCTTAAAATATTTGCCAAAAGAAATATCAAACAAATAAGAATTGCTTCATTAAACATTGACAAGCAAGTTTGTACCCAATTTTAATTATATTTCACAGTACTGGAATCTGATATTTATATTTAAGACATTAAGAATTTTGAAGATACTATAAGCTCACCTGGGTTTTAAAATATGTTTCTGGGGGAGTGCTGCGAATCTCTACTGCTGCAATATCAAGATGCATCAAAATATACTTAAATGATGGTCTATTTCTCGGTTTACTGTTCCAACACATTTGAACAATTAATCTGAAGCCATCAGGACAAGTGGAGGGGATGGGTAGATGCAAAGAGTTGGAACCCACACCATAGATGATGGCCGAATTATCAACGTCACGATAAGGAATCTCGCACGTCAGCAGCTCCCATAATACTACACCAAAAGACCTAAAAGAAACAAAACACACTTATTATGTTTAAGTTACAAAGAAAATGAATGGTTTAAAGTAAACAAAATACACTAGTGTCTGTACCAAAATATGATAAGAGTGTCTATACCATATCAATTATTTATAATTTCTTTAGGACCATGAACAACTATTCTACAAGCGTACCAAATTAATACTGTACATAAATATTGGTGTATTATAACTTCCTTAATAACTGTACAATATGGTACAATGCATATTATATAATGCTATAAGGTATCTATTGAGAAAACTTACCAAATGTCAACTTTCTCATTGCAAGGCTCATTGCGTATAACTTCTGGTGCCATCCAAGCCAAGGTTCCTGCAAAGCTCATTCTTGTGCTAACATCGTTCCACTCCCGACATGTTCCAAAATCACTTATTTTAACTTCTTGGTTACTACCAATGAGAACACTGAAAAGTCAGATTTGTAATTAGCAAACCTAAAGAATATTTAGAGTAAAAAGATTCTTGGTTAGAAATATATAAAAAAGTGGTTATAAATACCATAACTGACAGAGCTTCTACATAAGGAAATTGTTGTGAAATTTTTGTGACACCCACACACTATATATATCTCTACATAGATCCAAAAATTACATATTACCCAAATTGAAGAGCATGTACATTTAGTCAGTACACAAGAAAGAAAGGAGTAAGTCGTATGCAGATTCTATTTATGGCATGAAAAGCAAGCTGTAGATATACAGTATAGTAATGAAATCTTACTTTGGACTTTTGAGGTCTCTGTGAATAATCTTATGCTGGTGTAAGTAATTCATTCCTGATGCAATCTCCTTAGCCCAGTTTGCAACTCTATCCGGAGGGATGTCACGCCCATCCTTAAGAAGGTTGTAGAGGGGTCCATAAGGACAATACTCCATCACAATACAATAGCAGGGAGCAGCAGTGCAAACACCCCTGAGGATATAAATCATTATTAGAAAAAAAGTAAAAACTACTTAAATGAACTAATTATATTTTCAAATTAGGCACTATTCAAAATATATTGACTGTGTAGTAACCACCTAAACATTAACAGCTAGTTGTCAAATTAAGGATAATATATATGTGTACTGTATATAATAATATATATATAAGTACTGTATATAATAATATATATATAAGTACTGTATATGAGAAAATTGCAATGGAATAATACTATGATAAAATCCCACATATCTCATCATACCAAATGTGTTAATTTTCTGACCAGTCATACAGTCACACCAGAATTAGCCAAAAACAATAAAATATGATACCATTTAAAAACAAAGATTGCAAATATGACAAGAGGTTGACTCTAACAGACTTTCCTACTGGACTGGTGCACCACTCACATGAACTGTACAATGTTGGGGTGATTCAATTTTCTCAGGTGAGTTATGTCGGTCTCCTTCTGCTCGCGCACTTTCTTGATAGCTACCCAGGTTCCGCGTAGCTGGCCTCGGAACACAGCTCCCTGTGCACCGGAGCCTAGCCATTGTAGGTTGGAGACTTCTTCAAAGGGAATCTCCCAGTTATCAGCTGTAAATTGATTTAGTAGGTTTAAGTCAAACATATACTCAGTAATCATTATTATTCCAAAACAACATTTAATATTACAGTTTAGATAGATAAGCATGAAGGTAGATGACTGTGGATGTACTCTACTGTGTGTACTGTGTTCCCTATGGATGCAGCACTTAGGGAGAGTTTCTAGAATTTGTAATCTCCTGCTGTGTATATATATATATATATATATATATATATATATATATATATATATATATAATATAGTATATGGTTCATGCAGTTCCTGAAACCATTATGTACATCTGTAACCCAGTCTACCATCTCCCACAGGTGCATAATGACTAAACTAACTGTTGCTTCACGTACAGATACAAGCTTCACACTTGACATATCACAACGCACACAGCATACCTGTACTCTTTTTAACTATTATGAATCTTAATCAATCTTAAACACTCAATTGTACTCCAACTTAAAAGCCAAAGAAGACACTTTGGGAAGTGTGAACTCACTCTGTGCTTGCTTCTCACTGAGCGCCGCTTTCCCGATGATGGTCCAGACCGGTCTGAGGCAGCCGATGATGCCCTCGAACCAGTTGACCCTCTGACCGTCCCGGTACCGAACCTGGACACCCGTGGGGGAGTCGGGGCTGATGTCCTCGCCTCCCTCCTCCTGGTGGAGTCGTGGTGGGGGTTCCAGAGGAGTGGACCGCTGCGAGTGGAGCTGCAAGTTATGGAGCTCCTCTTCCATTCGCAGCATGCTGATGAAAATATATATACACAAATTATTACTTGGAAATAATACGCCTCTTGATATTTAATACTCAACACAAAGCTGCTATTAGGACAATATCCAATTCTGGCCCCAGACATCACTCGGTACCCCTACTCAAATCTCTGAATATGTTAGACATTAAGTCACTGCACATTCTCTCATGTGTATTATACATATATAAAACGCTAAACTATAATGCCAATCCTGATCTCAAAAGCTTCATAGAAGGTTGTAACAGAACCCATGAGCACCACACCAGAAATAAATACAGTTTTGATATTCCTAGAGTACGACTTAATCAAACTAGAAATGCTCTACAAATCAAGGGGCCCAGAATGTGGAATGACCTTCCCAACCATGTTAAAGACTGTACCTCTCTCAACCAGTTTATGTTAAAAACGAAGCTATACCTAATAAATTCCCTGTAACCTACCTTACCCTTCTATTGTCAACCAATGTCTGTTTTTCTTTAAAGAGCGCTGTTTGTCAACATAATTGTATTTGTGCTGCTTTTTCATCTATGTTTTCATTTCTTGTTTTCATTCTACTCATTATGCTCAATTAGTATTAAGCTTGTCATTTAAGTTTATCATGCCCGAAACGCTTTGCGTAATAGTGGCTTTAGGTATGTACTAGCTCTACCTATAAGTCAACCAATCTTTGTAAAAATTTATTGTATGTATGTACCTTACCTAAATGAAATTATTATTATTATTATTATTATTAATGTTATTTCTCACTAACAAATTGATCTATATGCAGTCTGAAACTCGCCTATCGAAACATTCATAACGTTGATTCATAAATATCCATCAATTTAACATCATCTCAAAATTATAAATAATAGTATTATATGTTTAATGTTTTATGCATCCAATGTTATTAATTCAGATCTGTCATTAGTGTTTAAGATGTACATGTATCGTAAAATGCCCACACTGAAAATTTGCACTTTGAACTAAGAAGCACGCTTTATTGTCCAAAAAAATATTTAAAATACATGTCTTTAGTTACACCTAACGTTCAAAGCATCAAGTATACAAAATAATTATCAAGTAAAAGCGCTAAACCAGTATATTATATAGCAGGGGTGGCCAACCTTTTTAACTGCATGCCACAATCGCCATCTTTAATGGAAAATTTTATCGCGGGCCAATCAGAATTTTGGGGAATATATTACTATTTCGTGTCTTTTAAGTAAAAAATCCATCACTAAATCTTGCATTCATTCAATCATACATGACTTACACCAATCGCTCTTAGGATATTCCTTTATTTTGCTTCTCTTAGAGCAGTTTTAGATTGCATCATTTGAAAGGTTCTCCCGATCCTTATAAGGTTGTTCTACCCTGCTGATAGTGTGAATATTTTATATTACCGTTTAAGTGTAATTCTCGCTGCCATATACATCCACATAATTTAAAGTAGCAGATTTTATCGTCAGCAAAAGAGCAAGCAAAAAATAATTCAGATTTTTTATCTTATCAGACAGCATAAGTTTTTAAGTTTTCCCCAACGCATTATAGGGCCCAATATCATAATCGTTTTACTTGGCTAAAGTACAATAAAAGAAAAGAAAATTAAAGACATTATTTTATTATTTCTTCATCCCTTATGAATAATACATAAAAATTACACCATAATCACTGCATACATCTACCAAGTGCATCGGTCCGTGTACTAAACCAAAATTAGCACAATTATAAGCCTGCCAACAATGGTAGTGATGCAACACATGAACGGGACAATTGACTGACTGATTGATGAAGATTAAGCCACCCAAGAGGTGGCACGGGCATGAATAGCCCATAAGAACCGGACAAAACTTGTACGTCAGCACGGGAGACATCTCCCGTCACGCAGGGTGCAGTCGCACCTCCACAGATCTCCAGTATCAGCTCTTGATACTGGCTCAAAAGGGCCACCACTTACGGGCTATTCATGCCCGTGCCACCTTTTGGGTGGCTTAATCTTCATCAATCAATCAATCAATCAATCAATTCCGGGAGGTCAGTGTCTTCCCAGACACCTACACAAAAGGATGATGGCTTTTGCCACGCCCTCCACCCGGTGCCTCGGATTCCAGCACCTTACTCTAAGTTCTAACTAATACCAATATAAATTAATCGTAACTTCGACACTAAAAGTTCCTGTAGTGAAATAGGTTCAAATGATAATTAAAACGTAAGTCCCTTTAAAATAAAAAACGCTTACTCATGAAAAATAGAGCGGCCTCTCTTGGAGAGGATGGTATAACATGTACTGCTATGAGAGTACAAGCTGCGCTGCCAAATAGTCCTATGCTAAAACTGTTTAAACAAAGCCAAAGGCTGGCTATCTTACCAGACCGATGGACACACGGATTCATAATACCCATACGTAAGCAAAATATTGAAAGTTAGACATATTTTACTGGCATTCTGTATCTGCAGTTCTTAAAGAGTATTATACTTGGAATGTTAATCGCTTCTAACTAAGTACCAACTTACTCCTAACCTGCATGATTTCATTCTGGGAAGAAGCACTCAAGCTTGGTTTGCTGAATATTTTATTAGGCAGGGACCAAGCTCTCATGCGGCATGTATTGACTTTCAAGAAGCATTTTAAACGGCAAACAGAGAATTAATCTTATAAGAACTAGCTTCGTTTGGAGTTAGGGAAGACTTGTTGACATGGCTCAGGGGGTTACCTAACAGAACCGCCTCATTCGTTTTTAAAAGGGGTTCATCGTAATACAGTATTTTGTCCTATTTAAGCTGGCTGCACTTCAGAGTGGAGTGCTTAGTCGCACAATTTTCAATGCTTTATTATACAAATTCGTAATTAATATACACACAATAGCTGACAGCTGTCAGCTATTGTGTGTATGTGCTGATGACATGTGCATTGTTGCAAGATTGCCAAACTCGATTACAAGTTGTGCTTGATTCTCGTGTTGCTGAAAGTGTTGAATGTGGTACAACACCGAGGATGTGCAATATTTCTATAACACAATGGTATGATTAATATTTAATTCAATTTTGTTCTCATCATCCTAATTTTGGGACATAAATTGTACCAGTATCTGTTTTAAGCTAAATATATAAGCTAAATATTACGCTTATAAGCTAAATGTTACGTTTTTAAGCTAAATGTTACGCTTTTAAGCTGAATGTTATACTTAAGGCTAAATGTTACGCTTAAAGGCTAAATGTTACGCTTATAAGCTAAATGTTACACTTATAAGCCAAATGTCTGCGCCCCACCATTCAGGTATCATACACACTCATCATTAAGAAGGCCAATTAGAATCTTACTATTCTAAAAGCAGCTATACTTGAAACAATAGCCTCTTCTATATTAGCCTAAAGGTCTCAACGATCAATATGTTTACACTGATGGCTCAAGCGCCAACAGTACGCACTGCAGCAGCCCGTGGTTTTATAGAAGCAAAACTTGCTCACAGACTATCAGTGTCAGGTTAATTTAAATTACTGGTTGAACCCCATACAAAAAGAACTAGCTGCACTGCAGCTAGCTACCAATGCACACACAAAAAAAACACAGGGGAGGGTGGGTAAAATTGGGATTCAAAGACTACGCTTCAAGCGCCTGGTCAAAGACCGGGCCACGGAGACCTTGACCCTCGAAATCAATGCAAGGTAACCAGCCCGAAAATTTCTGCACGCTAGAGAGCAATAACCTCATAAAACTATCGTAAATATCCTGCTCAAAGCACAGAAAAACAAAATTATTATGTATTTTGAAAGGATTTCATCTCGTACAAAAATGACACTAGACATAGCAGCCAAATTTACATGCAACAAATACGAAATTGAGCTAGACCTAGGTACCTGTTGTTAACATTTTAGTGCTCTAAACCTTCAGGCCTAACAAGAGAGAAATCACATACACTCAAAGACAGGAAAGCACTGGTCCACTCACAAGTTGAGTGGCGCTGCCCAATAAACTCGCCCCTCGGGGCAAAATTTAAATTTAAATTGAACTGGTATAAACAAAAAAATACGATCTGTTTAAATCTTGCAAGTGACAAATCTCCCAATCTCCTGACTGTCCTGAGTGCTGAGCATGTGTAAATTCTGCGTGCAGGAACTGGGTCATACTCCCTAATATTATATTACTGAATGTCCAATCATTAAACCCTTTAGACCTGCCAGTATGATGTACTTAGAGCTTTACTGATACTTGATTCACTCCCGTGTTCATTCGTATTAAAGCTAGTACACAGCTGAACACATTTTGAGTTGTGTAGGCTAATAATGCTGCAGGGATGAGATCGAGAACCACCAGAGGAATACTTGTGCTGTGGATTTTGACCCAAAGTCTTTAGGAACGCTTATGAGGAAAGGATATCTTCGTCGTGGTGTATTATCATATTAACAGATGTATCATTATTATTGTTACTATGATTATTAGTGCATGTGTGTGATTGATTGATTGCGTGCGTACGTGCGTATATTTACCTTAAATGATATTTACTTACCCTTTATTTCGTCTTCGTAACACAAAATCCATTATTTATCCAAGGTAAATTACAATCCAACTCTATCTTGCAGTTCATATGTCAAGTTATATTTTCTAAAGAAACACTTCACCAGTTTTAAACAATTGAAAGGGTTACCACAGACGTCCACACCAAGCACCATGCCATCATATGTCTTTAACATGAGTTCATGCAGCCTAGCGTGGCAGCTCGCCGGAGTGAAGCCTGCCCACCCCACTCTGTCCCGCGCGCGCACCCAAACATCCCAGCAGGTGCACAAATTATTAAGACGGCCCTGAACTTGACCAAACCCAGCCTGCTTGACAACAGTCCTCGGTTCCTGGAGAGTGTTTTGATTTTCCGGTGTTCGTTTTCTTGTTGAGATAATGCTTGGTTTATTCAATAGTTTAGGACTACACATTACGTTTTTGTGGTAGTTGGTCTTACCTCTGCGTCTAATGTGTTTTATCACCTGGCTCTGCTTTTATAATTATTCACACGAA